TACAGTTGTTGCAATTAATGCGATAGACAGTGTTGGTTGAATCAAGCAACTGAACCCCATCATTCATTTTGGAAAACAAACTGTTGACTGTGAGCACTGATTTACAAGCAAAACGACAATTAAAGGAATTATACAGCCCGATCAATTTTGGTGTTAGTTCTTTGATGTATGGCAAGACAACACACGCACCAAATACTTCGGATAACCATTGTTGATGAATAAGACTGAACGCTTCCTAAAATTGGAACGATGGAAAGTATTTTCAGAGATTTTTATTACTCTGTTCTTCATTTGTTTCACCAGGTTTATTTTTATTACAAGTTCGTGGTAAGACCTGAAGTTCAGGAACCTTCCAGAAGAAATTGGTTTCCTGTACCAGTCTACCAGTAATATATTGTCGTTGAAGCGAATCAATCTTGAATCCAAAAAGGGAACAGATTGATTGTCATCTTCTTTTTCGATGGTGAACTGGATGTAGAGATCGATCATAACTGTTAAAAACTTCAACAATATCATCCACCTTTTTATAAGGAATACAAACGATAATGTCGTCCACATACTTTTTTATGAAAATTAGGTTGTATGACAATACCTGAATAACAGTATCAAGCAGGTCATCCATCACAAATTCTGCCAAAATTGGAGATAACACAGAGCCCATGAGGCAGCCATGTGTTTGTGACAACACTTTGTTATTCAAAGCGAAATAATTGTGTCCGTCCGAGTGGTTTTGAAACACCATTTGGCTGCAACCTCAACGACGAGTGAGTTGTTTGACAATTTAAGTAGTTCCTGCATTGGTTGCTAACATCATAATTGTGTTTTCAGATCCTGATGAAGGCTCCATAGAGAATCGCCGAAAGCTTGATACTATCGTCAAAAGAGATAACTAAAGCCTAAAAAAGTTCGCCAATTTCCCAACTAACAATTAATTGTATATACGTAAATATATATACAGGGTGTTCCATAATTATTGCGACAAAATGATAGGGGTTGTAGAGGGCATCAAAATGAACAATTTTGTCTTATAAACCCCTGTTCGGAAATATGCCGTTTAGGCTGCAGCAAAAAAAAAGATTAGTTTCTTGAAACAGCTCACCTACAGTAATTGCTCAAAGTGTCCTCCACCTTGCTCAATACACAGCTGTGCACGATTGTTCAGTGATCGGCGAACTCTGTGGCATACCCCCGGTATGTCCTGAACATGTGCGGACGCGGCCATCACTCTTCCCAGTAGCTCTTGTTGGTTGGGAACAGGAGTTTCGTACACTAAAGCTTTCAGATGGCCCCAGAATAAATAATCCAGTCGGGTCAGGTCGGGTGACTGCGCAGGCTCAGGCACAGGGCCACCTCGGCCTATCCACCTACTTGGAAATTTGTTGTCCAAATTCTGCCGCACTTGTAAAGGAAAGTGGGCTGGAGCGCCATCGTGTTGAAACCACATGTTGGCTCTTGGTTCAGTGGTTCAGCGGCACATTTTCCTTTAGTTCCGGTAGCACATGCTGTAAGAATCGACCATAAGCATGCCCATCCAAACGTGGTGGAAGCAAATATGGCCCGATGATATGCTCGTCCACAATGCCGCACCAGATGTTAATTGAAAACTGATGTTGGTCTCTATGGATGGCTATAGCATGAGGGTTTTCTTCATCCCAAATGTGACTGTTACGGCGATTAAAATAACCGTCCTTTGTAAAACAGGACTCGTCAGTGAACAAAACGTAGCGACCAAAGTTTGGTTGTCTCAACTCCTGCTGCAGCCACCAACGACAAAAACGTCGACGCGGCAGATAGTCTTCTGGACCCATGGCTTGGACTTTTAAGAGGTGGTATGGGTGTAGTTGCTGGTCATGGAGAACCCGCCAAACAGTAGTTTGAGACGCTCCCATATCATGTGCAATAGCACGCACGTTTGTACGCGGATTGGCTTCTACATGATGCAGAATCGCTTCCTCAAATTCTACTGTGCGCCTCGTGAATGGCCGCCCTGCTCTCGCGAGGTGTCTGATGCTGCCACTGACATGAAGACGTCCATGAATCCTTGCAAAAATGGCGTGATGCGGATGAGGACGTTCTGGAAACCGTTGGCCGTAGATTCGCGAGGCTCGTCTTCCGTTACCACCAGCTTCTCCGTAAATTAAATGCATATCCGCAAGTTCCGAATACGAATAACGCTGCATTTTAACACTAAGGTACTGTTATTTACTATATAGTTAAACCGGCGAGACCATGAAATGTGCTAGACGAACATTTTGCAGCTGGTGAATTTTTTGTTTCTCCTATGAGCTCTTAAGGTAAAATTAGCGGTAGTGCTCAAACGGCATATTTACGGACAGGGGTTTATGAGGCAAAATTGCATATTTTTATGCCCTCTACAATCCCTATCATTTTGTCGCAATAATTATGGAACACCCTGTATATATATATATAAATATATATACATCTCCTTGAATTTCTTTGTGTAGAAGGCAAAGTATGTATTGCATAAGCACACTCTTACAACGTAAACTCGAGCTTTCGAAGGTCTATGCCTTCATCGTCTGGAGCTGGAAATAATTATTGACAATAGCAATAATAAACAATTAGGAGGAAAAAATAGTTACTAAGTCGGCGAGATTGTTGCTGAAATTGTTCTTAAACGACGGGAAGGGAAGGGAAGGGAACACATAGTCGACGAATAAAAAACTGGACCGATGAGGTTCGATTAGGACGGTGTTCCCTTCATTGTCGTTTAAGAACAATTTCAGCAACAATATCACCGACTTAGTAAGTAATTATATTTTTCCTCCTGATTGTTGATTGTTGCTATTGTCAATATTTGTTTCCAGCTCCAGACGATGAAGGCATAGACCATCGAAAGCTCGAGTTTAAGAGTGTGCTTATGCAATACTTTGCCATCTACCCAAAGAAATTCAAAGATATTTTCTCCTAACAGTTAAGGCAATTAACTAGGAATACTATATATATATATAACTTGAGACGTGGTCATTGTCGTCTAGACTTAGGTGAAAAATTAAAGCTTCCGCCTTTTGTTGGGTACTTCGACAAAATTTAAGCAAAGATGACTCATTGAATGTTTTCTAAATAATTTTTAATCTGTCTTTAACTTGTCTTGTCATATTTTACATAATTTTAACCATTGTACCATGTATCCAGCTCTCATCATGTTACTGGACGTTTCCCTCATCCTATACGAAAACAACAATTAGCAAAATCCTCACATACTACTCTCCTGATGATGATGGCAAAGTCCATTGAAAGCTAGAGAGAATTAAAAAAAGTATAAAGAGTCCTCTTTGCTTAAATTTTGTCGAAGTACCCAACAAAAGGCGGAAGCTTTAATTTTTCACCTATATATATATATATATATATATATATATATATCAAAGCCGGCGGCGTACCAAGGTTGGGAGCATACAAATGTACTAAAATTGACATAAACCCTCCCCACCCCCTGCGATCCCCGCCACCAGGTTTCTGCACCTGTAAATTTGTTTAAAAAAAGTATCAGGATCCTCTGAAACGTCAAAAAATGAAGTTCGAGCGATTTACCTTCTTTTTCGTTTTTAACCTTTTTCTCTGGGGTCACTGGACCGATTTTCGAAAACTACATCGCTTTTGCGTCTTGGCATATTAGTAACATTGTGTGAAAATTTCACCAAAATCCAAGCGTTACTTCTCAAGTTATAAGATTAGCGGACATGACTAAAATATATTGTCAAAAAATGTCAATTGACTCGAAGAAAATCACCGTTGTGACCGAACCGTCGATTAACAAAGAGGCATTTTAAACATACGTAGTTTTGATTCGGCCCAACGAATTCAAACTGTAATAGGTAGAAGGGGCCAGGCAAGCATGTGTCTCTTAATTCTCACAATATCTAGTAAGGATAAAAGTGGATTTGACATAAGTTCCATTTTTGACAGTTTGTCATTTGTATAGTGTCTGTCCGCTAATCTTATAACCGCCTATAACTTGAGAAGCTTTGAAGTTTCTGAAAATCGGTTCAGTGGTGGCAGAGAGGGTTTAGTTAATTTTTTTGATGCTGGTACATTTATACGCTCCCAACTTGGGTGATTCTGCGCACCTATTAGAAATATTTCATACATCATAGATTTCTCTGTACATTAACCCTGAAAAGATGTATTGCTGCTGCGCTACATCATAATGTTTTCTATGCTCTGACAGCGCTACCACGGTGCCACGTCTGCCCGAGTTAGTTATCGGGGAGAGGCGACGTTTCCAGATGCACCACCGGTAGGGCAGGGGAAAGCATGTCTATGGACTAATTGTGTGGACCAGTTTTACGGAATTTTTCTCAGACGATTGCATGGGAAGTACAGAGTCAACCTACTTGATGCCATTTTTTTCAAAGTACGACATGGTACTTCTTACACAATTTCCAAAGAGCGGCACAGGCCTAATGACAGGAGATGTTTCCCCCGGTGTAAGTATTATTATGTTGATATAACGCTCTCACTTTGATAGGCATTGGTAGACAAATGTGTCCAAAGTATGCGCTAAATCTACACAATTTTTACGACAAATAATACAATGTAAACATATAAGCTTGACTCCTTCTAATCTATTTGAATTCGTTTATCTAGTGAGACAAGCATGGCGAATTACATATCTTTATAACGCACAATAGCCCAATTGCAGCCTTTAGTCTGGGAATCGATTTATATTTTGAAAATTACCTACCTTAAAACATCATATACATATCTCGACTCAAGTCGACAATGTGACAACAGAGATGCCAAATACAGAACTTCTCTATTACCCTGTTATTAATTTTATCAACACAGATATTTGTCAGGTACGGCTATATCTCATTTCCTGTGTCACACAACTGTCAATTACGAGTTGATTCGACATCACGGTATGAGCGGAGCGAGAGGAAAGAATATCAGTTTTTTTTACAGATCAGCAGGAGATTATTATTTGCATGACATAATCCCCCAAGGCAAGACAAAATACATCGATTCAACATATTTACCCATTTGGAATTCCTTAGCTGGAGAGCTCATGCGTCCATCACCTCCGTTTGAGTAGGCTAGCACTCTAAGTTTATAGGCCTTTCCGGGTGTGAGATTAGTAACATGTCCTTCCAGTTTGCCTCCAAACGGTATAACTGTATCGTTAGCTTTGCTGATATCTTGGTCCGATTCCCATGCTCGTATCTAAAACAGAATAATTCAATTATACACACAATGTCATTCTGTAGTGAATGTGAATCCAAGAGTTTTGGATCTTGTGCTATCTAACAAATGTTTGGTTGAAAAGGCACATGAGGATTTACTTCCCGAGGATGTCCATCACCCTCCTTTACGTATTACCCCACAAAAAAAAACATTCGGAATTTCGAACACTGTAAGATCGATAGAATCATTTAATTTCCGAAAAACCAACTTTCCTTTGCTATATGTGATAAGTTGGTCTTTTTGGATGATATATATAACTCTGATGTTGCATGTTGTCTTACAATACATTTCAATTTATATAATAAATAGCATTTTTGAACTGTGTGTCTCGAAAACTAAATAAAATATCCACCATGGCATAAAAAATGGCGTCAAGTAGGTTGACTGGACTTCCCACGCGACGCCCTTATCAGTACATAGAGAAATATGTTCATCACAAGCTAGACTCTCTGAGCCAGTCAAGCAGGTCCATATAATTAGCCCATCGACATTCTTTCCCTGTCCTATCGTTAGTGCATCTGGAAATGTCGCCTTTCCAGATACTTATCTCGGGCAGACGCAGGAAACACTATGCTGTTGAGCAGCAGACATATGTGTGATTTCATAATAGAACAATCATCAGTCTCCCGAGAATATTTCTTAGTTTTCAGGACTAATTGAATGTAATAGGTGCGTAGAATTACCAATGTTGGGAGCGTGCAAATTTACCAGCATCTAAAAATTTAGATAAACCCTCCCCACTCCGTTACAACCCCATCCCAAGTTTTTTATACACCTCAATTTTTTTTCAATATCAGGATCCTCTGAAATGTCAACAAACGAGGTTTGAGTGATTTTTATTTCTTTGTTGTAGGTTTTTTTCTCTGCCACCCTTGGACCGATTTTCAAAAACTACAAAGCTTTTGCGTCCTTGGTATAGTAATGGTAATTTCATCGGAATCCGAGCGGTACTTCTCAAGCGGATAGACAGACAGACAGACCGACGAAAATGAATGACATGGTTTTTCGTTATGTATACCGGGTGTTTCAAATTGGAATCTCGGAAACGGTTAGAGATACGAACTCACTTAAATAGTGGCAAAGTTGCGTATTTAGGTATTTAAGAAAATACTGCTTAGAAAGTTTCGGAATTCAAAGTACTTCACGAGAGAGACGGAAGAAACCGAATTTTTCCAAAATCGTTTTAAGTTTTTCCTGGATTTATTTGTAATGGGATTTCAAAATAAGTTGCATATCAACATTGCCGCTTTTTATCTTCTACAGGATAGCATAATTAGAATTTCAATATGACGTTATTACCATCAATAAGATTTTCATTGTGTCCAGGTTTTACCATATTTTTTTATTTCCTTATAATATTCATCCAGCAAGTTCATAGCCAACTAGGATAATACATCACTGAATTCAGCGCAGAAAAGTCCATTTGAATGTAAACGTCTGTATGAGTGCTCGGCGACGGCAACGATCCATGTACGTTCGGGAAATACCCACAGTATTTGGTTGGTGCTTGTTAACGTAAGATAATTCGGCGCCTAATCTTGTGGCTCTTCGCTAATTGTAATTAAGTAAAATAGATAACTAATGTCAATCATCAATTAATTGTGTTTATAAAAGTTCGTGTGGTAAGTTGGCAACGTCTTATATTTTATTTTACTAAACCGAAAGATTTTAGAAAATGTCTACAAAAAATCCAATCTGGGAATATGTTGAAAAAGGCAATGACAAAACTGTATGCAAGATATGTTCAAGTCACTATCACTTGGCAGTTCAATTCCAAAGAAACAAACCGCTACCAATATTAAAAACCACTTACAAAAAATTCACATTGAAGAATGGAAAAAAGTTTGTGACGCCGAAGTGGAAATGCAAGTGCGAAAATTAGAAAAAATGCATGACGCTACGGGAATAAGATCCAGGACAAACCACTCAAACCAGCCCACTTTACATCAAATAATAGAACGCAAGTCGTCTGCATTATGGGCCGATGATCACCCGGTATCGTCCCGTATTGACAAATCGATTAGGACCTCACTATTGTTGATATGTTACCATATTCTATTGTTGAAGATGAAGCTTTTCACCGACTGCAAGATCCAATCGTCCCCTCTAAGTATAGAAAGAAAATAGAAAAGTTTTTCCGAACTAGTTTAATGCCAGCTACATATGACAGAGTCCGAGCCAAAGTATTCACTTTAATTTCTACAGCTCAGTGGGTTAGTTTTACTACGGATATTTGGAGTAATCCTGCCAAAACCTGTTCTCTTCTTAGTTTTACGGCATATTTTGTTCAAGGTCCAAAACGACTTAAAGTTATATTAGGAGCTATGGTGCTTGATGACGATCATACTAGTGCATTTATTGCAAATAGGCTTAATGAACTAATTCATGATTTTAAAATAGAAAACAAAATTCATATGGCTGTGTCAGATAATGCTGCAAATATGATCGCAGCTATGCGTATTGCAAAATCTACATCTTTGGGTTGTGTGGCCCAACCATTGCAACTTGCAATTCATGATGCTTTATTTAAACAAGAAATTATCGAAAATGCGATTAAAAAATGTCGCAAAATAGTAGAGCATTTTAAAAGGAGTGAACAAGGATGCAGGCATCTGAGACAGTTTCAAGAAACCTGTAATTTGCCAAAGCATTTGTTAATTCAGGATGTAGAAACAAGATGGAATAGCACTTATCTAATGTTATAGCAATTATTCGAACAGAAAATTGCAATAAACTTTTGTATGGCTGAACGTGGTGGCATTGAAGTCCCCAGTGCAGTTGAACTGGAACTAATCAAAAATATAATTTCAGTCTTAACATACTTTTACCAAGCAACGCAAGATCTTTCAGCCGGCTCTGCTTCTGTATCGCTAATATATAATTCCGCTGATAACAATGCTAAATGCTAAACCATTGATTCTCAAAGTGGTCTATATCGACCCCTAGGGGTCTATGACAACCTGCAAGGGGTCTACGTCAGCGAAAAAAAATTTGGGGGTCCATGAAATGAATATGGGGGTCCACGATAGTGGATCTCAACACATACACTGATAGTACCTATTTACTTACATCATACTATCTTATAATATCAAAACATATACATTATTTATAAAAGTACCTATGAAGTAAAAAATTTGTTATATATGTTTATAAAATTGTGTAAGTTGTAGGATGTTGGTATTCGCTTTGTGATCGCAATACATTTTGAACTTGTAAAAACCTGAGTCGCAGTCTCAGAGCTTCGCTACCTTGCACTGACTTGTTCAATTCGTCACTCTATAAATACGAATGTGGGACAAATACGTTTATTCGTTTCCTGAATCTTGAAAAGGAAAGTGCTAAGAAAAAAATATTTAAAAAAATATAAACAGATAGTATATAACACAAATTATAGTGAGTCAGTGTTATTTTGTTTGAGAGTGCTGGAGAGAAGTAAGTACATTATTTTTTATTAAATTTTAGTTTTGTACTCGTAGTTAGCAAAGATAGATAAATAAATATCTAAAAAATTAATTTTCACCCCCAAGGAAATCATTCCCCAAAATCCGTTGTACCTCAAAAAAATACCCTATTATAGAGACTATTTATAGGCTGGGTGGCATGGTGTGAGAAAGCTTCTGAAAGGCTGGCAGATAAAAAAATATGCTAAAAAATTCATTTTCACCCCCAAGGAAATGATTCCCCAGAATCACTTGTACCTCAAAAAAAAACTCTATCATAGAGACAATTTATAGCCTGGGTGGCATGGTGTGAGAAAGCTTCTGAAAGGCTGATAAAAAAATATGCTAAAAAAATTCATTTTCCCCCTCAAGGAAATGATTCCCCAAAATTAGTTGTACCACAAAAAAATACTCTATTATAGAGACTATTTATAGGCTAGGTGGCATGGTGTGAGAAAAGCTTCTGAAGGGTGGCAGATAAAAAAATATGCTAAAAAATTCATTTTCACCCCCAAGGAAATGATTCCCCAAAATCAGTTGTACCTCAAAAAAATACTCTATTATAGAGACAATTTATAGGCTGGGTGGCATGATGTGAGACAGCTTCTAAAAGGTTGGCAGATAAAAAAATATGCAAAAAAATTCATTTTCACCCCCAAGGAAATGATTCCCCAAAATCAGTTGTACCTCAAAAAAATACTCTATTATAGAGACAATTTATAGGCTAGGTGGCATGGTGTGAGAAAGCTTCTGAAAGGCTGGCAGATAAAAAAATATGCTAAAAACTTCATTTTCACCCCCAAGGAAATGATTCCCCAAAATCAGTTGTACCTCAAAAAAATAGTCTATTATAGAGACTATTTATAGGCTAGGAGACATTGGTGTGAGAAAGCTTCTGAAAGGCTGGCAGATAAAAAAATATGCTAAAAAATGCATTTTCACCCCCAAGGAAATGATTCCCCAAAATCAGTTGTACCTCAAAAAATATTCTATTATAGAGACTATTTATAGGTTAGGTGGCATGGTGTGAGAAAGCTTCTGAAGGCTGGCAGATAAAAAAAATATGCGAAAAAGTTCATTTTCACCCCCAAGGAAATGATTCCACAAAATCACTTATACCTCAAAAAAATGTTTTATTATAGAGACAATTTATAGGCTGGGTGGCATGGTGTGAGAAAGCTTCTGAAAGGCTGGCAGATAAAAAAATATGCTAAGAAATTCATTTTCACCCCCAAAGAAATGATTCCCCAAAATGATTTATATCTCAAAAAAATACTCTATTACAGAGACATTTCATGGGCTAGGTGGCATGGTGTGAGAAAGCTTCTGAAAGGCTGGCAGATAAAAAATATGCTAAAAACATTCATTTTCAACCCCAAGGAAATGATTCCCCAAAATCAGTTGTACCTCAAAAAAATACTCTATTATAGAGACAATTTATAGCCTGGGTGGCATGGTGTGAGAAAGCTTCTGAAAGGCTGGCAGATAAAAAATATGCTAAAAACATTCATTTTCAACCCCAAGGAAATGATTCCCCAA